GCTGATAGCTACGCCATCGACCTCAATGGAGAATCCACATCCTTCGCTTGTCCCCCTGGCCCCGACTTCTTCGACTATTTGAATAAGCAGTTGCCCTGGACTGATTGTGGATATGTCGACGGCGGCTCTACCACCACTCCCAGTCCGGTCACCACCACCACATCAGCTCCTAGTACCCCCAGCAGTACGACAGGATCTCCTCGTCCTCATTACTCTGAAGAATCTATCAAGAATGCCGATGAATTCTGCCAGAGTAAATTTGCCGGTTCTTACTGCAAGTATTGGCAAACTCCTGAGGGTCAAGTTTGTCACGGAACTGAATTATCGTGCAGTAGCTTGTTGGTTGAGGGGCGGAGATTGGCATCGGTTGCTGATGACGACTCTTCGACTTGTTGGGCTCATCTCGGCTCTACTATTCTCGAGAGGTCTGTTCATGTCTGGACTGATGAAGCTGTTACTCCTAAGGATGCTGAGGTTATTGATACATCCACTCCGATGGCCGAAGGATCAGTTGGTGCTGCTCTGCTCCTCCCTAAACCATGGTATGTTGGTGGTGAACATCCTGAGGATCTAGAGGTCTATGGTATTAGCGATCCCGATGTTGAGTCTATGGAGTTGGCTAATCTTCCGGTTCGTCGTTGGTTAGAGAAGGCATCTGGTGCTAGCAAGGATGACCTTGTGCTGACATCTCCCGTTGAGAGTCCTAAGAAGACTGTTGGCCAGTTCTACGGCATGAAGGTTGATCCCCGTACCATTCTCGCTCTACATCAGTAGAGTTTCACGTTATTGTTCGAGTAAGTCGAGTGATATGTAATGTTGTAATGGCTTTCTACTGTAATTTTGTCAGCGATAAGAATCGATGTGTTGTGTACTTGATGTTGTACCGTACAATTTCGCGGTTGGTGTATCTGTTGTATGTTATGGAGTTTCTTGGAACTCGGAAAGCTTATCATTTCTCTTGCTATTGTTGTTCTTGTGCCATATCTTATCTCGGTTTTTTAATGCGAAGGGCGCTATATCAGCTCGTTTTCACGTTCAATTCAAAGTGGCTTTAGTTCGTAGTACTAATTATATTTCCTTCTAGGGAGTAACGGGCCAAACTTTAAGAAAGGCATTGCACTAGTGGACTAATAATGTTGGATGAAACTCATGTGTTGCCCAACTTGGTGATAATGCAATGCTGTCCAGCAGGACCAACGTTGACATAACTTCAGTATCAAAGTCCCGAAGATGTAAACACAATGGGTACGGCTGCAAACATGAACTGTATATCGGTGCAATTCAAACCGTAGCGTCGGTGTTGCATTCCAAACTTGCACAAAGTGGCGATATCTCTGCGAAAGAGAAAATATTGAACAGTGGCCACAACATTCATGCGTGTGACGTTGATCACAGGATGAATGCTAGTCTAGTGACACTCGTTATACATAGCGGCGCACAGTATCATGCTTGACCTTACCTCTCGCAATCTGCGACTCGGAGTCGCACTCTGGGGTATCCTACTGCCATGAACACGATGCCACGGGATGAGAGGACATGATAGGATTCCTATTGAATCCTGTTCGAAT